TATAGTGATGTACCTTCTTTCATTTCTGATATTAGTAATTTGTGTTCTTGCTCTTTTGTTCTCTTCTTTGTCTTTTAAAGCATTAACATTGCATGTTTTCCGTTATATGTGCTTATTTCTGCACTTACCTGAAAGTCTCGTTCCAACAAGGTCAAAGATATTTTTCAATAAAATTTTCTTATTTGTGTAATGATTCTCAAAAAATGGAATTCATCAAAGGGCCTGAGATCCTGTTTGTTCATTTGTTTCCCTTCCCTGAATTTGCTATAGTATCAGTTCAGGCTTCTTATGTTTTGAGGAGGACGGTATGATCCAAAGATAGTAGATTGATTAATTGACAGTTATGCATAGCAGTCAATTCACATTTCAAAAATATCAGAAAGCAAAGTTTGTTTTAATTTACTGATCATCAGGTGGTTCTGGAATTTGCAAGGAAAGTATTTTGAAATGAGGATAAGACAATTAAAGGAAACATTTAGAAAAGTTTCAATTATACCCTGTGGCATTTTATGTATTTTATTTTGCTTTTAGATATGAAAAAGTTTCATAATTTATTTAGTTTCTTTTCAATAGGTTAGCCCTGCTGATACAACAAATTCACATAGATTCAAATTCTGGAATAAGACTTTAGAGTTTATAGTATAAGCATGTTTTATAGTATAAGTATATTTTATAAATGGGAGTTAGAAGGGGGCATCTAGATTTTTCATGTATGTTTTAAATCCTGGGTCTTGCTTTTCCCCTCAGGGAACCCAAGATTGGTCAACATTTTCCCTTAGAAATACTTCTGGGGAAAAGGTATAAATTATGACCTAAAGTAGCTAACATTAAATCTTTGGAAGAGAAATCAAGATTTATTAATAAATTTGTAAATTTGTCTGTGTTGTACATATTAACATTATTCTTTAAATGTTGTCTTTATACATCTGCATTTCTTTCTGTGAGCTTCCCCAAGTTTGTATGGATAACCATGAGTTAGTTTGGCTGTTAACCTAGGTTGGCATCATGTTCTGAGAGCAGCCAGGGGCTAAGAGCCAAAACCTTGGTTCTAATCCACGAACCAGCCAAATGTACTTCACTAAATTTTCTGTCCTCTCTGCATCTACATTTTACTCCTCTGCAAAATGTAGATGATATTACCCTGCACATATCCCTGGACTATTGGCAGAATTAAGTAAGGTAAGAGATATGGAAGTACTTGAAAGATTACAAATGTGTGCAATTGTAAGACATTGCTGCAATAACACTGCAAAGGCCGTTTGCATATATTGAGCTTGAATGTGCTCCTTGTCCTTCTCAAAATGTGAAGGGAAGACAGAATAAAAGTACAATCCTCATTCTTGCACACTTGTCAGTCTGCCTCCTCAAACCCGCAGAGCTCTAATTGTACCTAATGAAAGAAAAGTAACATTTTTAGGTCTCAGTTGCAGGAAACATTTTAAATAGAACTGGCCTAGGGCATTTTTCAAAATAAAATCTAAATAATGCAAGATCGTTAGTGGGAATGGTGCCAGGGCTGGATTACACAACTAAAAAAAATCAACCTGAGGCTCAGACCGTCCAGCAGCCTTGGTCACACCTCCTCCAGGTCAGCGATGGAGACAGCAGGACTTACACTAGGCCTTGTTTTCAAGTTCCAGAGACCTTGGTCATCATCAAGGACTTCATACTAGGGCTGGTTCATGGGTTAACAAGCAATTTGTCAGCAGCCTTTCACATGCTAGAGACCACAGCAAGAGCAAATTCATACAGAGCCTTGACCTAAGGTTGTAAGAGTTAGAGAAAACTGAAACATTTCCTTTTTGAACCCATCAGCCATGTCCTAGGTAGGGTCTCTGCCCTTATCCCCATTCTGAGTTAATGAAAGTGCTGCTGGCATGGCCTACATAGCTTATACTTTGGAGGGGTTGGGGAGTGAACACTTAAGAGTATCTCTTGTCTTTTTTCCCTGGAAACCTTGCCTAGAGGTGTGGTCTTTATTATGGAAGGCATTTGTCTAAGAAACCCCCAGAAGGCTTAGTGGAATTCTTACTAACAATTTGACCTCCAAGGTTCTGGTCTTTGTCTGGTAGCTAGTACCTATAGCACCTGGAAGTTCTTTTCTCCCTTATCTGCTTTCTCTTGGTTCACTTCTACTTTTGCCTGTGTCAGTGCCTCTTTTGGATCCTTTCAGAACTTCTTGGCCCTCTGACACTAGGGCTCTTGCCCAAATGACCTCTTCCAGATTCTTTCCTGTCAAATAGCACCCCTAACCCAGTGGCATATCTTCACCCAATGCTGCAAGTGTATTGTTGTCTTTACACTGGTCATTGTAATTACTATATAACATGTAAATTATAATTATTATTTATTAACAATGTACATAACAATGCTAGCAGTAATAGCGATTCTAATTATAACTATAATTTATTAAATATCTACTATGTGCCAGTTGCTCTATTATGTGTTTTATATGCATTATTTTGGTTGATGATTACTACAAACTGGTATTTTCATCATCCCAATTGAAATGGTAAACATATTTTTGCTCATGGTTGTATAATAAAAGGAAATCCTTCCTCCAACTTCCAATGGAACCGCCATGAAGGACTTCTTATCCTTATTTTCAGCTGAGGAATCTGAGACTGAAAAAGGTTGCATAACTTGCCCAAGGACACAGAGCTAATTGAACCCAGAGGATCTTAGTTGAAAGCTGATGATTGGTTTAAAAAACCACTACATTACATCAGGCCCTTGTTTAGTCTACCCTATTCTCTCCCCAGGGCTGAATACATTTGGGATAGTAAACTTCTTACAGGACATGGGACGTTCTATCTACTTCTATTGTTGGGACTGCTGATTGGCAGCTCTCTTTCCCTGGGGGTATAACGTAATAATGGAAAGATGTTTAACAAATAAATCTCTTTCATTTGTATGAATGAATATCATGGAGCAGATATAATCAAAGACTGTAACATTAAGAACCCTTCAGGGGCTGGCCTGGTGGTGCAGCGGTTAACTTCGCACATTCCACTTCGGCGGCCTAGGGTTCACCACTTCGGATCTCGGGTATGGACATGGCACTGCTTGGCAAGCCATGCTGTGGTAGGTGTCCCACATATAAATTAGAGGAAGATGGATATGGATGTTATCTCAGAGCCAGTCTTCCCCAGCAGGAAAAAAAAAAATAGAGAGCGAGAGAAAAGAGAAAAGAACCCTTCAGACCCCTTTGGATATCAAGCAGAGGTTATTCTCTTTCTTCTATGTGCAATACCTTTTAAAAACTGTATCCATTTGTCTTCCCTCCATTCCCCACACCTACCCCAGTCTTCCTTATCCCACATGTATCCAGTATATTCCTTTCTTTGCTGGTATTATGATGCACAATATTTGGCTAGTCTTTACCCTGGTGGTACAAGAATACCTGAAAAATTATCTTGGGTCATATATGGATAGAGAATGTGATATTTGATCAGCCATATACCTGAATGTGTAGAATGGGGAGGGAGGATTAGTGCCATATGAGGTTGATGCAAAAGTGATTGAACCAAACTTCACCTTCTTGCCTGAGACTTTTTTTAAAATTATTATTCTGGTGGCTTTAGCTTCATGGATTTTAAAGAGGCTGTTAAACATCTAACAAGAGAATGAAATGTTCTTACATTTGATCCCCACTGGGCATATCTCAAGCCCTTTGGGTACTAGGAACCCACATTAAGGAAGAGAGAAAAGCAATAGTTCATGATTTACATCGTATAATGGGGTTGCATCTGAACATCAGAATGAGAGTGTTTGATGGCATCGTTCTCAGATGTCACAGGCATGGGCATGGTCAGGAGTACTTGCCAGTAATTAACTTCACTGGAAATCTAAGTAGCAGTCATTTTGATTAACTTAGTTTGTAAACCCAATGGATAGCAGCCATCTGTACTCGTGTTTTTTGTATGATGTCTGGCATATTGCGAAATTTCAATGAGTACTAAGTAGTATGAATAGTAACAACCATTTGAAGCCGTCTTAAAATTATTGGTTGGTATGCTAATGTCATCTATCAGGATTGTTATAACTTGGTGGTGAAAACACTTGATTTTGAAGTGTTCTTGGCAGTTTGTATTTTTAACAGCAGGGATCCCTTGATGTTTAGTACAGGTATGGTCTCCAAATGTCCCACCTAGAGATTTACAGTTGACTTTCTTTTCAGTCTTGCCATGCTGCTCTTGAATGCTTCTTCACACTTTCCAGTTTTCTTTTGTGTGGTTGATATCTTCTTGAGTCCAGATAGCGTTGGGTAGGCAAAAGTCGTGGGGCATATACAGGGAAAATAAGGCAGAATTGTATTCCATAAATGCTCTTGGATAATGAGTTAGCCAATTAATGCCCAATTTCTAAAGTGGCCTTATGGTAAAATTCAATGTTGAAATCCCTTTATAATGCTAGGGTTGGACATAATTAATCCAGACTGACCACACTCTACTAGGATTTTTTCTTTATGTGAACACAGAATTTGACTCCTGACATAGCTCAGTAAACATCTTCAAAAGCTCTGTAAGTTAACAGATATCCTCTGTATGTTGATCTGGTTTTCAGTATGTATCCTATAAAAGGAAACGTTGGTTTACAAACCAATGGAAAAATTAAACAACCCTTGGAATATCTGTTAAGGGACTGGCCATAGGGACAGAGCAGGAATGGCTATAGCTCTAGTCATAGAGTTTCTCAGAGGTTTTCACTAGCAGATTCTCAGCATAGTAATATTTACTACTGGAAAGAAGTCTTACAGTTCAGACGATGGGTACAACTCTTCTATGTAGCTATGTAGCTACATGGCCAAAGATATCACATTAGCATTTTGTTTCATATCTTTCTGTAAGTCGAAATAGCAAACTGTTCTGTGTTGTTTTCATGTTGTTTCTGATTTCTAGACAAGCTCCTAAATGCAAAAGTCAATACTCGTGAAACATATAGAGTACGAAGTTGTAAACACCCAATAAAGCCATTTTGCTATTTCTCTGTTCCTACAGAAACTCGACATATTGCATGAAGGTGTCAATGTCCTTGACTGTTGCAGAGAATGAATCAGGCCTGTGCTACAATAGCAGGATCCGCTATTTAGAAAAATCCGAAGTCACTAAAAGAAAGGAGATCTCCTGCCCAGACATGGATGACTTTAAAAAGTCCGATCAGGAGCCCGATGTTGTGTGGTACAAGGTAACTCAGCATGGTGTAAAATGCATTTTTTTACCTTAAGTCAGTAGGGGGCTTGGGGATGGGAAAAGGGAGAGATTTTATTTCTAGTTTTTGGTATTATATATTTTACTGAGAAGAATCAACAGATTTAAAGCTAAATAATGTAGAGCTATGACTCCTCTACATTACTGGTTTTCATGCACTTACATCAGCAGTTGTTAGAAGCAATCTTACCTTCTCCAGCTGCTAAAAATAAGTAAGATCTCCCTCTACCCCAACTCATGAGAAAAAATGGAAAGAAGAGTGAAGATTTAAATAACACATGAAAAAAGTATTTGAGGGATAGAAATATTATTTACTGTTAGGAACAGCGCTCCATCAGTACAAGTAATAGTACTTACCAAGAATAACAGCTGTTATCATGGTCTACACTGCGAGTGCTACTGCAGTCAATGCAGAGGAGAGAAATAGGCCCAGTGCAGGATGAGTGAACATCAGAAATAGCATGTTTGGCTGGAAATAAACCGCACTCAAAGGCTGAACAGAAGAGACTGAATGAAGGAACTATTTAGAGTTGTGGTTAGGGTTAAGGGAACTAACAAGGGAGGAAACTGTAAATTACCACTCTTAGGCCTGCAGTGGCGAGGGGAAGGAGCAGTGTCACTGGAGCCTGGCAAGAGGGGAGCAGGCCTGTTAGGAGCTGTGGCCTTAGAGGAACATATGGACTGTGGCAGGTTGGAAGTGGGCAGAACAAATACCCTAATCCCTCTTAACTCCTGCCTTCCCGCTTTCTGCTAATGCCTTCCCTTCCCACCATGCGAACTCAGCCAGTACTCAGAGGGCAAAACCAGACGATAGAGTCAATAGTCTTCAGCACCCCTGGGCATAGAGTAGGGCAGACAAGGTCAGAGAATAGATGTAGGAGAGGAAGCAGAGAAATAACCACAGAACCATCCAGCTATGATATTCTGGCTGCTTGCCTGGGGCCCCATGGCCCTGTGGGAGGACTGAGGACCCTCTGCCAGCTCTGAGCCACAGTGGTTGACACATGGAACAGTTTTACATGTGGTGGCCGGAGGTGGCCAAGGAGGTTCTCTGCACAGGTGCTGTGTGTGTTGTTGGAACCAAATACCCATAAAAGTGGAATGGGTTGTTTCTACAGGATCTGACAGACCGTCAATTCCTAGGGAACCCTAAACCCTAACTCCTACAGGTGTCATGTGTTTTTAAATTTGGAAGCCTTTCCATCTTCACACCTGGGGGAATTCCTCAAAAGAAACCAAGAGCATGTCCTGAACCCAACCTCAAGCTTCTATGTGAATTGTCCTCACTTTTCTTTTCTCAATGAAGATAGTATTCTGACAACTAAAAAGGAACATGATGTTCATTATGCATAAATATAGAATATCCCTAATTTAGTGGGACCCCTCATGCCATCATCAGCCTTGTGAGTATTTATTATACACTTACTATGTGACATTCACTGCGATAAGCTTGATCTCTACATTATTTCATTTAAGTCTCACTGCAACTCTGTGTGGTGGGTGCTGGTATCCTCATTTAACAGACAAAAAACTGAGTCTTAGAGAGATGTAGAAACTTGTCCAAAGCTACTCAGCCAACAGAGCCTGTTTTTGTCTCCAAGGCAGTGTGGCTCCAAAGTCTATTTTCTTAATCACGACCCTTTCCTGAAATGGGCCTGGTGCTAAACTCAGCACTGGTGCTGAAGAGCCCATCAAAAGATAGAGTAAGAAGGTTTTATTTCAATTTTACAGTTGAAGAAGGGCTCAAGTGTTAGGAGCTAGGAGTAAAATCCATGTCATCAGCCTTCTCTTACAATGTTCATTTTATTATCTCATCTTCTTATCTTTCTGCTAAGTTCTTTCTTCCCCTTTCTCCACATCTCTAGACATGATCATCATTGTATACCAAAGCAATATATCCCTTGGGAAATGCTAATCCTCAGTCTTTCTTGGAAATGGACCAATAACGGTGAAGCAAATAGCTTTTCCAGCTCTGCCTGGATAATAACATTTAATATTTCTGTAACATTTTACAATTGATAAATAATAACCATAATGATACTTAATATTTATTGAGTACTTACTATATGCCAGGCTCTCTTTTAGTGCTTTAAATGAATTAACTCAATTTCTAGAACTAGTGTATTAGGTAGGTATTATTATTATTATTCCCATTTTATAGAAGAAGTGTCTGGAGACTCAGACAAGTTAAGTGACTTAACAAAAGTCACACAGCAGTTTGTGACTTGCAGTTTGGCTACTAGGCCCATCCTTTAGCTACTTCACTATAACATGGATCAGGATGGAAAACTGGAACCAAAAGTTAAAGAGTCTCTGAAGTTCCAAAATGTGCCGTTAACCCCTCTTCTCACACAAGGTTTCAAGTAAATCTCTGAAAAAAATGTATTGACGTATTGGAAAAATATTTCCTTTTTCAGTCAATATTTGGTTTGCATTCTCCTCCAGCTGAGCATGAGGTGATTCTCCTCTTGCTACAGCGATGTGAAGAGGAGGACACACTTGTCCAGAGTTCATTGTGGTGCACATCCGAAGTTAGAAGTGTATGATGTGTTATCTCCAGTGTTTTAACAGAGAAAAGTATGTGTTGTTTCATGATCACTTTCCTAGCCATCTTTTCAAATATATGTAATCTTTTTTTTTTTTTAAAGATTGGCACCTAGGCTAACAACTGTTGCCAATCTTCCTTTTTTTTTTTTTTTAAGGATTGGCACCTGGGCTAACAACTGTTGCCAAACATTTTTTTTTCCTGCTTTATTTCCCAAACCCCCTGGTACATAGTTGTATATCTTAGTTGCAGGTCCTTCCAGTTGTGGGATGTGGGACGCTGCCTCAATGTGGCCTGACGAGCGGTGCCATGTCTGCGCCCAGGATCCGAACCCTGGGCCGCCGCAGTGGAGCGCGAGAACTTAACCACTCGGCCACGGAGCCGGCCCCTCAAATACATGTATTCTTTAAACTGGTTTCTTTTACGTGCATCTCTGCTTTTTACTTACTCTGTAATCATTTTGTATCATTCTCACCTTCTGTCATGGGTTTCTTGGCCTGTCTGAAATATGCTATGGTAGGCCTTTGAGGACTATCCTTCTGTACCTGCATGTAATCACAGCTGGATAATAAGGCAGGGGGCATCAGGTGGCACTGGGACATGTTCATAAAGATGACGAAGCTAATCCTGGCTGTCCTTAGAATGTAAGAGAGATGTGTAAGGGGGATGTATCTCCTCTATCTGAACTCTATCAGTTAGCAAAAGGAGTTGAGAGGGGGCCACACTTTTAGCACTTCCTCCTGACAGTATGTGAATGGGATTTAGACGTTAGAACAGAATATACAATATTGTTAGTCTTTTAGGAAACATTTTTGAAATGAGAGATAAAGATTCTTTTTATTATTGAACTATAAAGAACACTAGAACAACCTCATTATTCACTGACTGCTGTCACAAGAGCGTATCTCTGTGTCTCATTTCTAGACCAAAGAATCTCCTAACTTGAATAGGACATCAGCAATGAAAAGATAAATACATACCTTGGAGTAAAACTCTCACCTATGTGATTAGTTACCTCAATTGATAAAAGCTTGAAATTAATGAGGTCAAAGGTACCAGTTTGAATCCTCCTTTTCCTTGCTACAAGTACCTCAATTTCAGATGTTTGCCACTAGTTATAAATGGTATAGGTTGGGGCATTATGGATGGTTCAGTGCAAGTTCATTCATTCATTTGTACAACTGCTCATTCATTTTACTCATATTTATTGGGTGCCTACCATGTGCTAGGCACCATGCTAGGAACTGGGGATAGCGAAGTGACCAAAATAAACACATTTCCGTGTTCTTATAGAGGGAGGAAGGTAAGTAAACAGCTTCTTCTCAACACTCCAGGAAGGAGGTACATCAATTCAAACATCTAAAGAACAGCTCCTAGTTGAAATCAACAGCATTTGTATCAAGTAAAGGGCAGTAGGCATATGTTTGTTTTTAACCTTAAATAGACATGACTATCTTTGCAAAGGAAAATTTCAAAACTAAATAAATCAGTTAATAACAGTACATAATAGTTGACAACAATCTTTCACAAATCATTTCATATTATAGGACTGAGGTGCAGATCAATGTGTCTATGCACTAGGCACTCTCCTCTAGCACCCGGGGATGCTGGTCCACTGGTTTGGAAGCTCTGGTCTGCTTTTCCATAAAATGGAACATAATTTTTTAGCTAAAGATGGCTGAGTAAGTCAATCCTGCTTGTCCTTGGAATGCACGGGGCATGTGGAAGGGGGCTGTATCTGCTCTGTCTCAAACCCATCAGCTAGTAAAAGGAGCTGAGGCTGCTTATTGGTGACTGTTATCGTCATCTTTTTTCCAGAGGAGGAAACTGAAACAGCTTACAGAGGGTCACTTAGTTAGCATGTGATGAATTAGGAGTTCAAATCTTGAACTTCTGACTTCTAGTGAACGTTCTTCTATAACACCACTCTGACTGCTCCGCTAAATGGGTATCTTGTGCACTTAATACAGTTGTGTCACTGACATAAGTAGAATGCTCTCTCAAATTGTTATTTTGGAAACAGTTCCTGAAATCCTTCTGAAGGATTCTTTAATGACTGAAGTGTTCAAAGGGACTCGAACCAGGAAGAGAGATTTTCTCAGATCTAACTAGAACCAAGTAGAAGGGATTATAATATCAGAGGGACCTTAGAGCCCATCTAGCACAACTTATTTCTCTTATTTATGAGGAAACTGAAGCTCAAAGAGCTTAAGAGATTTGCTTAAGTCTAATGGAACCCATTTCTCCTTTCTTTTTTCACATTTACTGAGTTTTACAAAAAGCTCGGAGACAGGCCCAAAGAAGTGAATGTACTTATCTATGTATATATATTTGAAAACTGTGATCACTTTGACAAATAATGATGTGGAGGTATAAAAAGCCATTTGTACCCTCCTCTTCCACTCCATTTTACCATCTGAGGTAACTAATGT